GCATGGCGACAATAGAAATTAAAGGGGGACGCACAATGGATCAACAACTGGTCGTAGTGCATGGGGAAACCCACCCCCTCCAATAATAATAATAATAATAATAATAATAATAATAATAATAGTGATTGTAAAAGAAGGCTTCAATGAATCCAATAATTCAATCCAGAACCCTTTATTGTTAGTCACGGAGCCACAAACACGTGACAGCTAGTGTCAGAAATGGGATTGGATTGATTGATCTATTGGATCGAATTATTGGATTGAAGTGCAGAAGAAAGTATACCGCCACACCATTGGTCGCGCAGTCATGAACACGTGACAGTACAGTGGGAACCGAAATTAGCGTCCGCAAAGCCTGTTTATTGCTAAGAATTTTGTTTCATAAGGTTCGCTACTCAAGGTATGATGTACCCACAGACAGCTTAGAGTCGGAGCGGGAAAGCCCTTCTGTAATAAGCTCAGAGCGGAAACGAAAGAAGTCCCTTGACACATCTTCACTAACACATTTTGAATCTCCGCTCGAATGTCTGTTATGAAGCGCCATATTAACACAGAAATTTTCAAGCTTCATTTTATACTTACACCAGCTTATGAATGTTTAACATTATGGAAATCATCTGTTATCAAAACATGCTAAGGGACTCCATAAGCCGGCTTAACAGCTAACAAACAATTTAACATGGCTCTAAAGTTCAACAACGAAGTTGAAAATATGTAAATAAGGCAACAGGATTCCGTGCAGTGTTTGTGGACTTTCCTAGAAACGCATTGCCCTGTCTTACATCTGTAGTCAGTTATTGTAACTTACACAATATTGTGGAATTACGTTCCCAGATGTTATGTAATTAAAAAAAATAACAAAAAAAATGATGTTAAATGAAACTAGTCTTATGATATAAGCACTGAATGGTTAGCTCAGTCAGTACAGTATGTGACTAAGGGCTCAACGTTCGTGGGCCTCTTCGCGGAAGGGCTGAGAGTCCTCCCTTCGCCACTGAGTCTGGACCGATTCAGAGGTGCGCCCAACCCCCCATCGAGTGCTTCACTGGGACTAGGAAAAGCGAACTGACCGCTCACTTCCCTCTGCTACTAAGGTTAAGGATGCATGGAGCCGTACCTTTACGCCCCTTATATGTTCATAAGAACATACTGACCTTCAATTTATGCTCACGTGTCAGAAGATAGCAGCTTAACACAGCGGTGAAGTCAATAAATCTCAAACACTTGTTCTGCGTTTCGTCTGCCGACTGGAGAGTCGGGCCGGCTCGGTCGGTGTAGAGAGGGGTTACAGGCTGGACGGCCGGGGTTCCATCCCCGGCAGGCCCCAGAGATGTTTCTGTACTCTAAAACAGCAATACCGGCTAGTTGGCCAAAAGCAGCCTTCTCTTCAATGTATACCGGTGGATCTATCCCTGGATATAAAGCGGCTGGAGCGTGCAGCTGACCATTCCCCTTCATCCAGTGCCGAGGTCAAGAATGATGGACTTGTACCTCCACCCCCACACACACAACTTAATCATATAATGCTTAATTAGTTAAGCGCAGGAAAGACATGAGTTTGATATGTANTTCTTCTGTTCACGGTTAGTACAGCGTCAGACTTCATTGCTGAAAGACATGAGTTTGATATTTCTCTGGTCTCGACATTTCAAGAAACCTTCGCCGATTGATTCGGCCAAACGCGTAGCCCACTGGAGGTCCCAGTGGAAAACCTTATTCTGAAGACCAGCTATCATGACCGAGGATTCTCGTTCTTCTCCTCAGTCCCTACAGGAGAATCCCACATGTAGGATACATAGGTTAAGTCACATCCTCTTCCTTACACTAGCTTTCCTTTTAATTATTTACTATTCATCCCATTTCGCCCATTAAAAAAGCGTTAATTTACCAAAAAAAATATGTATGAAGTTGTCAGACAATAAATATTTATCTTGCACAGAGAGATATTGGGTTTTCGGACTTTATCCATCG